TTTAAATTAGGAAAAAGACTTGCATGCAGGGCCATCACAAAATGTAATAGCCCCAAGGTCACAGGAGAATTAGTCCAGCCCTGCATCCAAGAAGCATGTACTTCCACACATTATTTTCTCTATCCATTCCCTCTACGTCCTTTTCTGCTGCAAAGATCATGAAGCAAGGACCCGTTCTTGACCCTAAGACTCAAAGTCAAAGTAAATTGAAAAAAAGCATCTATCATATGTACATCTGCAAAAGTACTCTCATACTCTAATTCCCAATGCATCATGCACTGGGGCCAGAGTAAAATCAGGAATAAATTCTTATGGGATGGAATCTCTTCTTGGTTACAAAATACAGCACAGCATAGGACAGTTGACAGGTGTGACAGCTTAGCAACTGTAGAAACAGACTGGTAACTCCTTTGAAGTGCCATACCTGTCGGTGAAGTGTCATTTTCCCAGCCACTGAACTAAAACCTTTAACTACACAAGCTTTTCTTTGTAAGTATCTCATGTTACTGGTTTTTTTAGTAAACAGGGATGGTAATTAAAGCCATTATGTCTTCTCTACACAAAGAGAGCACCAATAATAAAGTTGCAAAAAATATGGCCTAGACTTTAATTGGCTAGATTGTACTTCTACTGTACATGATGAAATTTTATTGAATGAAAAAAGAGGTTGTAAATTCTTGTTATTGCACAGGAAATTACTGCGGCACTTAGTTTTAAATGCAATTCAAAGTGAAATGTGATTAATAAAAAGGATTCTGATAGGAAACGTTTATTTTAGTATGGCATAATATAACTTTTTTTAAAAATAAGCGGCTCTATCTCTGCAGAGCAGGAAATAACTATGGCTGAACAGAAAGTTGAAAGTTAGAAGGAAAATTCTGGAGATCCAAGTTTAACCCCAAAGCTCAGCAATATCAGTAAGAACAGTTGTTATCAAAGGATGCTCACCAGTGAGCAGAGAACTGGGGAGCAAGGCGAAGGAAAGGGAAGGTTTATAAAACAATTACGACAATTTCATGGTAAAAAATGATTTGGATGACTAGGGATATTTTGGCTTAGTTTAGCAAGCATTAAATATCTAACGACACATATCATTTTGGTAAGTGGGTAAAACGGAAAGGAAAAAAAATCAAAATCTGAATCCATGGCAACAGGTGTCCAAAAGAAAATAGCTTAATCTTTCATTTAGAGCTAGCCAGAGGATTAACTAAGCAATTTCACCTTCAAAAATGGCTCTGGGATGCACTGCAAGTGGCATCTACACTGAAACTTGCCCCTCTGAAGGCCTAAACATTTTTTTAGATTACCTATATGTTGAGGATATAATCTCACACATGGGATCTGTTCTTAGATAACCATGGCCTATGCCCATGTGTAATATTGCAAATCATACAGTATTACATACAGGCAGTCCCCGGGTTACATGGATCCGACTTACATCGGATCCCTACTTACAAACGGGGTGAGGCAACCCCGCACTAGCTGCTTCCCCCCAGCAGACCAGGGAGACGCGAAGCTAGCGCCCCGCCCCCCTCAGCAGACCAGGGAGATGCGGAGGGGCTTTTCTCAGCCGACACCTCAGCTTGAGAATAAAGGACTGAGGGAAGTGAGGTGTGGGAGAATAAAACTGAGCTCTGGAGAAATGTTTGGCTAGAGTTTCCCCTACAATATATACCAGTTCTGACTTGCATACAAATTCAACTTAAGAACAAACCTACAGTCCCTATCTTGTACGTAACCCGGGGACTTCCTGTACATTACAAATATGAGCGGAAACTCTTTCATTCTTTCCATACTGGTGTGGGGACAAATATTTTGAATGTAGCTCACAGGTAGCTCACATTACCAGGGAAGGAAAAGCTATTTTCAACATATTTACTTTAAACTAAGATTCCAGGATAGACGGCTCTGACTAGTGGTACTCACTTACCGTGTCTTCTCACGAGCTTGTTAATACCAACCACTTTTAATCACAATGGGTTTCACTCTGAATAACGCACTGTAGTCTTGGCTGCTGAAAAATGATGCATCATAAAGTGGTTTATCTTGGTTGCTCCTCACTTACATTTATAGCCAATATAGGAATATTTTGCATTCAGTTCGAGTTTCCATTAAGGTAATTTTACATCTCTGTAGCAGTATAAAGGGACTTTAAAATTTTAATCCCCCAGTTGACTGCTGGAGTGGTGTGAAGCGTTGTTCATAGAAATTAGAATCTGCCTCTGTAAAACCAAACGACGAGGGCAAATTCTATAGATATTGTCACTGTTTAGAATCCATTTCCAGCATCACCCAAGTAGCTTTACCCCCTACTTACCTTGTTAATGAACCACAGCTCAAGTCGGCTGAATAAGGAGGTTTGTTTTGTACTCCACCCACCCTTCCAAGCACCTTAGAGATAAGATCCCCCCAGAATTTCAGAGTTCCCTTGGGTGTTTAAAAGACTCTGGGAAATCAGGCTGCTCTCCTGAGATAGGTGCTCCATTAGACCTGTTTTGCCAAACCCTGGGTACAGAGGGGGCAGTCTGGTGTGTTAGTTAAGCTTCCTGCCTCGGTTTCCCCAAGTTGTGAATGCCAAAATGTGATGCCTTCCCTTTGCTGGACATAGACCAAAAGATGGTCAGAGGACGCCAAAACAATGAAGTTTCTCATTCCTATAAAAACAAGGAAATAGGCCTCATATTTTGACCATCTATATGGCATCTAATTAATTCCCTAATTCAGTATATTCAGATACCAAGTACTCCTGTGACAGAGGGATGCACACTGCTCCGTGTCACCTCATCTGGAAAAAAGATACACTGGCATTGGAAAAGGTTCAGAAAAGGGAAACACAAACAGTTAGGAGTTTAGAACAAGTCCCATACTAAGAGAGATTAAAAAGACTGGGACTTTTCACCTTAGAAAAGAGAAGACCAAAGGGGGATATGATAGAGGTCTATAAAAACATGACAGGTATGGAGAATGTGAAAAAGGAAAGGTATTTACTTGTTCCCCCAATATAAGAAGTAGGGGGTCACCAAATGAAATGAAGAAGCAGCAGGTTTAAAACAAACAAAAAGAAGTCTTTTTTTTCACACAGCACACAGACAATCTGTGGAACTCCTTGCCAGAGGATGTGGTGAAGACCAGGGATTTAACAACTTTCCAAAAGAACTAGATAAATTCATGCAGGTCTGACCCAATGTGGCCGTTCTTACGTGTGAGGGTCACATACAAATGTGAGGGCTGGAACGGATCTTGAGAAGTCACATAATGGCCAAGTCTTTGCATCTCTGTGATGCTGTGCCTCAGTACGAGAGGGCAAAAGAGAGAAAAGGGAGCTTTTCAACAGAGGGTACATCTACACAGCACGCTTATTTTGGAATAAGCCAGTCCGGAAGATATATTCCAGAATAGCTTATTTGAAAATAGCAAATCTTCACTGCAAGGAGGCCTCAAAATCAGTCTGAGGCAAGCTCCCCTAATGTGGATGCGCTACCTCCATTTAGAGCCCCAGGAGGCACTGGGGAGGAATAATTTAGAATGGCCCTGGGGAGGGGCTAATTTGAAACTCGTGCTATTTCAAAATAGCTATTTCAGAAGAGGAGATATTCCCCGTGGAACGAGGTGTAGAAAAGTCGGAATAAGCTGCCCGTTATTTCAATTTTATTTTGTCGTAACGGAATTGCTGCATAGAGGCTCAAATTGTAATTCCAGAAGAATGTCCGTTGTTCCAAAATAACGCTGCTGGGTAGACATAACTAAAAGAGTCACGTTAACATTCTGCCGACTGTCGCCTGCTATCGCACTGTTTAGAACTGTTTAGTATGTTTGCCAAAGTCAAAAAAACCCTTTTTGGACCTGTTCAGATCGACCAAGGGGATCAGCACTGCAATGCCTAACTGATTCAGGAGTCTAAATCTCCTTTGCGAAAGGGAACACATAGGAGCCAAGATTCCATTGAGAGACTCTCAAAACAGTCTGTGGGTCTGGAAGCTTGCGAGGATGCTAGCCCATCCCTAGCCCCATCCCAAGGGATAGAGAAAGGGGGAACACCAATGCTCCTGATGTGTCAGGGTCAAGCAAACCAATCACCAGGTGGACTCCATTGAATCCTGTGGGTTGACCTGCAGGCCCAAAAGCAAATTGGCGACCAAGTCAACCCCATTGGATACTAAAAGTTGATCTGTTGGCCAAAAAACAAACCAGCCACCAAATCAACTCCCTTAGGATTCAAGGTGGTTGACCAGGTGGCTCCTTTAGTTTTGGGTCAGCACGCCAAATCTATTGGTTCCCATAGGTTGATCTGCTGGCCTGACCTTCCACTGCTTTGGCCGTTGGTCTCTGTCTAACAACCTGGGTTTCTCCTTTTTTTACTATTAATGCTGTCATTTTGGTTTGTTAACCAGCCACCAAATCAACTCCCTTAGGATTCAAGGTGGTTGACCAGGTGGCTCCTTTAGTTTTGGGTCAGCACGCCAAATCTATTGGTTCCCATAGGTTGATCTGCTGGCCTGACCTTCCACTGCTTTGGCCGTTGGTCTCTGTCTAACAACCTGGGTTTCTCCTTTTTTTACTATTAATGCTGTCATTTTGGTTTGTTTTCTCTGAAGTGTTCATAATTATGTTTTCAATAGTTAATACAATTATTACCATCAGTTCCCGATAATTTTCAGGCATTGACGTTGTTAGCACTTGTTGCAAAAGCCACTAAGATTTAACTGTTTGCTCATTTATACCATATCCGTTTTACCACAAATACAAATGTATAACAATATTCGTATTGTTACATTTTATCACCTTGATCAAGCTCGTACAATTTCAGGACGATGTGCCAACTCCAGCTTCTGGTAGCACTATTTAACCTATGCATAAACAGTCTGGAGAAAGGGGTAAATAGTGAAGTGACGTTAAAGATGATGTTTGCTTAGGGCACAATTAGGTCTCTGGTGGATCCTATCCAATGGGAACAGGCTGATAATGCAATCCAGGAAGATGAAAGCCATTCACAGCCAAATTCACGTCCTCCTAAACACCTTCCCTAAAGCCTCCTTCACCTCTTTATTTCTCAGAGTGTAGATGAAAGGGTTTAACAGCGGAGTAATAATAATACTCAACGTGTTGATGATCTTGTTGATCTCCAAGGAGTTCTCTTTGGAATACCTCACGTATAGAAAGATGTTGGAGCCGTACCACATCATCACAACAACGAGATGGGCTGAGCAGGTGGAAAAGGACTTTTGCCGACCTTGAGCAGACGGGATCCTCAGGATGGTGGAGATGATGAAAATGTAGGAGACCAGGGTTGTCAAACATGATCCCAGGATGACGATGATTGCCATAAGGAAACCAACCCACTTAACCACAGATGTGTCTGAGCAGGCGAGAAAGATCAAGGAATCGGTGCTGCAGAAGAAATTATTGATGACATTAGAGCCACAGAAGGACAACCTAGCTACCAGAGAATTGTGGATTATCATAAAAAGGAAACCAGACACCCAGCATAAAAAAACCAGCTGAGCTGACTTGGTGCTGCTCATGAGGGTGCTATAATGCAACGGGTAGCAAATGGCCAGATAACGGTCATAGGCCATGACAGACAGGAGGAAAAATTCTGTACAGCCCATGGAGAAAATGAAGTACATCTGCAGGATGCAACCGACAAACGAGATGGTTTTGCTTTTCCCCAGTAAAACGGCAATGGCCTTAGGGACAGAGGCTGTGGTGTACCAGATCTCCAGGAAGGAGAGGTTGGAAAGGAAAATGTACATGGGCTTCTGGAGGTGAGGGCGGGCCATGACTAGAGCTATTATGGCAACATTTCCTGTCACTATCAGGATATACGTTGTGGTAAACACCACAGTGAGCGAGATCTGCAAGTTTTGATTGCCAGGGAATCCCAGGAAGATAAACTCTTGTGCACTGGATTGGTTTCCCTTCTGTACTCCAGTCATGGGCTCCATCTGTCAAGAGACAAGAGACATAATTCAGGGGCATTTTTTTACAAGGATTGTTGGACATCAGAGGTGACTTTTTCACCTAGTTAGTGTGGCAGGATCCATTTACCATCGACTCACAGTTAATTAAGTTAATTGTGTTACTTCATTAACTGAGTCTCTTATTGGCCATGCTATTATCTTGCCTGGGATCAAAATCAGCCTGAAAAGTCGGTAGCTCCACTAGTCCTCCATTCTGCCCATTTGAAATATTGACCCATCAGATCTCTTCACATCTCTGGAATCCCCCTGATGTTCCAAGACTGATGGTAATTGTCCAATGAACTCTGCAGCCAACATTTTTAACTCTCTTGAATGTCAGTTATCTGGATCTGCTGCTGTAAAAATGTCTAATTTTTCACGAATCTCTTTAACATCATGCTGGGACAGGAGAGGATTTGAGAGGATTTTCAGCATATAGATTATTCTCAATCCCTTTCAATATGTAGTCTTGAGCTGCTGTTGAAATTTTATCCCACGCCACAAAGTGACCAAATTCATTTGCCACCGATTTTCTGAACATCTGAACAAACGATAGTGCTGAATCGTGCATTACCTACTCAGTCCCCCAAAGAGAAGCAATTGAGGAAGGAACACTCCTTTCTGTGTGGAAATTGTAGCCTCTGGGCAATTCACAATTTAGGGCGTGAAAAGGAACATCTCCCACTCCTGAGTTCCCCTGGTCACACAAGAGATTCATGGAGTTAGTTAAAATGCCTTATTGGATGTTCCATGAATGTCCAACTCAGAACACCAATGCCTAGACATCTCTTACCACCTCCCCTAGCTCCCAAAGCCATAGTCACCTCTGATACCCAACAAGAGCGTTGTTAAGAATCAGGACAATGGAAGAGGGTCATGACATTTTCATCATATTCCCAATTGGCATTTGAAATGTTGGTGTCACTTTCAATCTACAGATTGTTCACTGAATCTTCAGCCGGTGTTATTCCTTGTCAAAAAGCTGTTAGCTGGGCTTTTCAAAGAGGACTAAAAGAGTTTGGTATTGTGTTCCCATGGAAATCCATTAGGTTATGGATACCAAACATGCATAATTTACCTTGAGTTTGGATGTCCATATGCAAGGGACGATTTTGACTCAAACTCTGGAAAACACTGCTGCGCAAATCCCATTTTAACCAATCAATGGAATTTAGCATGAAAAAAGTAGAGAAGGAAAACTAACCCAGTTTTCCTGAAAATTTGAACCTCTCTAGTTTGGCATCCTGAGGGCCTGACCAGTGCCAAACCAGAGAATTAGCAAAACCACAGAAGATCAATATTGTCTAGCAGTGTTACCAACACTTTAAATGGTTACTGGGTTCTTGGAAGACATTTAGATTTAAGTTAGAGCTGAAGAACAGCATAGAACACTAATAGCAGGGACCGGGGGACTGTAAATAAACTTTATGGGACCATGGGAAACTTGGCCACACCCATGGTAAGTGGACATGCAGCTAACTCAAATCATGCCGCACCACGGATGTTGCCGGACCAGAGAGTGTCAGCCTAGAGAGTTTCAACCTATAAATGGATCTCTCCTGCCTTCTGTTTGGGTTGTCTCTTCATTACTCTCCATGGTGCTCTGTGACACGCAGGACTTGTCTTTGTTCCTCTTAGGTTTGGGGTGACCCATTTACACTGGTATTTTCCACGGCAGAGAATCATAATTTTTCATTCCAGTCCAAGAATGCAAACCCTGAACTCCTCATCTGTCCTCCCCTGCCTTCCTCACTCTTGATTTTCCACCTTATTTCCAAACCAACCAGCCTTCCTAGCACCGAGCTTCGGAACACTCCCATCATTTGTGTGTCTTCCTCTTCTGCACCCATGATGGGGATTTTTTGTCTTTGGTGAAGATTTTGGCAGTTAAAGAAACCACCTGGCCCAGCTTCCCTTGAAATCCTTTGAAAATCTTCCCGTTTCTCTCTTACATTAAAACTGAGTTTACATTTTGCCAAAGATCCACTTCTAACAATCAAGGAACAAACCTTGTGTCTAGTTTCGAAGGATTGATTGATATTGATAATTGAGATTGATAAACGTTATCAAAAGATGATTTCATTGGTCACACACACACGGATGAAAATGTATTTCCATACATAATACCAAAAATTATACACATGCAAATTTAGAAAAATGCTGTGTGAGAATTGATTAGAGTTATAATCCTAGGATTTAGATTTACTAATCATTCACTAGTCCATTTGTAAGACGCCGAACTGCAAAACACATACGAAATTAGTTCTGCAGCAATTCTGCAATTTTTGCATTTGCAGCCATAGTTAAATTGCACGATTGCCCCAGGATTATGCATGAGTTGTTGAATTAAGGATATTTATTTTCAGAGTACAAGGGTTTAAGAAGACGATTTTCTACATTTTGACATGCAATGTTTACAATTTGGTTTATTAATGGTTTATAGGTAGAATTTCAGCCTCTACTTTTATTTGTCCAACAATTTTCCCAAGCCCCTAATTTTTTGGCAACGTTGAACATTTAAATACATTTTTAAAATGAAAGCAATGCTGCAAATAGCATAGGATATCACTTATCAATCATATAAATAATAACAATAAAATTCTGCTTAATTGATTCATGACATATGAACATAGAAGAGAGAATGGAAAAGGAATTGCATATACTTTAGTGTCCCAGCCGAGCTAACTTAGATTAATTAAAATCCCCGGCTTTTGTGCTTTGCTTTTCATCAGTAGATCTCAAAGCCTTTTACCAACAGGGGCAGGATCACTATTCCCACTTTAGAAAAGAGGGAACTACAAACCAGATCTAATGTCCCCAGTTTTGCACTCGGCTGGGATGGAGGAGAATTGGTCGATTGTCACTTGGAAGAGGAATTTTCAAAGGGGGTTGAAGCAGACAAAAATTCAGATCTTAATGTTACTTTAAGGACAGTAGGAGCCTGGTTCCCATCGACTTTCTAAATCCATTTAGAGCAGGTTGGACAGACATCTATCAGGGATGCTCTAGATGGTGCTTGGGCCTACTGTGAGGGCAGGGGACTGGACTCGATGACCTCTCGAGGTCCCTTCCAATTCTAGTGTTCTATGATTCCATGATCCTACCCTAATGCTTCTCCTCCTTATTCCAATTAAGAATACTCTGGCAAAAATCAAAAGACCTTTCACTTGTTCTCCACTTTCCATACTCCAGTCGCTGTCCACTCAAGGGCTATTTCATTCTCTGATGGGTTGCAAAGTCTGCCCGGTGTAGCCAGGACTTCAGTGTTGTTTGGAACGGGCCCAGTGCCCCTCTGTAGTAAATTATCTGTTATCAGTCGTCTGCTAAACAAGGAAAATGAGGGGAAAAGGAATCAAGAGTGAAGGAGAAGTCTATTGCAGCAATACTGTTACCTTTATTAGTCACAGCTGTGTCATCCAAAGTGATGCCCGCTTAGTTGGACAGGATCCATGTACCATCACCTCATCTTCAATGACATTAATTACATTACTTTATCAACTGAGTCCCTTAGTGGCCATGCCAATATCAATTTGGGAAGTCTACGGCTCCATTGTCCTCCCATCTGCCACTTTGTAATATTGGCACATTAGGTTTCTTCAAGTCTTCCAGAAGAATCCCAATGTTCCAAGAGTTATGAAAATATTAACGGAAAATGTCCTGCGAGCTTCTTGGCCCGCTTTTCTATCTCTCTGAGATGAGAGTGATCTGGGTCTGCTGCTTTAAAAATGTCTCACGTTTGTCGCCTCTCTTTAACGTCCTGCTGAGACAGGCGAGGATGTGGGAGGGTTTTAAGCATCGAGGTTTTAGAGGGCTCTGTGGTGTAGCGAGACGGTTTTGAGCCTGCAGGAGAGCTTACTTGTGGAAACGCATTTATTAGAATCCCCAGTTTTGTGCGTTGCTTTTCGTCGGTACATCTCAAAGCCTGTTACCCGCAGCGGCAGGACCACAAGTCCCTCTTTAGAAAAGAAGAAACTGTAAACCAGAGCTAATCCCCCTGGTTTTGCGGGGGTGGCCAATGTCCCTCACGCAGCTGGGGTGCAAATCAGATTTTAGCCCTGGAGCAGAAAGGATTGATTGTCTCTTTGCAGTGGGATTTTCAAAGGGGATTGAAACACATAAAACCCCCAAATCTCGCTGCTATTCTACACTCTTGGGCTCTTTGACATGTATGTGGGAAACTCATAAGGACTTTGACTTGTTCACCTTCCATCTTCCATTCATTCTACAAAGGCTTGGAAAGTCCCCCTTGTGTCTCCAGGATGCCAGCACTGTTTGGAATGGCCCAGTGCCCCTCGGCAGTAAATAATTAGCTGTTATTAATTACCTGCTCTATGAAGAGTAATTGGGATTAACGGACCTTGCCAGGGATGCATCACAGGCCAGGGGCAAAGCTCTAAAGAGGAGCTAGCCGCTCCTGCCCTCCAATGCCCTAAGCTCCATGCTTACAGACGGCTTCACGCAGTGATGGAGGCAGTCTGTAGGAATCTCTCGGTTCACTCTAGCAGGATTGGGAGATGCTCATGGTGCTTCCTCACCTGCAGATCCCCAGCGACGTTCCTAAGTCGGGTGAGCAGTGTTAGCGCATGTATTGATAGATGGGGAAACTGTCACTGGCTTGCTGTGTGATCTTCACACAACCGCTCTGTGCCTCAGAGTCGGACAATCTCCAGTTCCTTATTTCCCATCGATTGGACCAGGCAACAGCAGAGATTTCAAAAGCCACCTAAGGGGTCATGGGCCAGATCCTTAAAGACTGCCCGGCACTCGGGAAGCTGTTTCACAGCAGCTGCATGAATTGGGATCTAGGATGTGTAGGTGCCTACATGCTTCTAAACATCTCCCCGGGGGCCTTGAACAATCTAGTGTGTAGTCAAATCCTCATGCAAATTGGCAAGGAGTGGGCCTCATGCCATACTTTTGGCTCTGAAAACTTCATCCTACTTCTAAGAGAAAGGGCCAATCCATTTTAAATATGGTATCATTGG